GATAAAAAGAGATCGTTCTAGAAAATTGCTGTCATTGTCACAAAAGGCATACATAGCAAAGATTCTTGAGCGTTTTAATATGAGAGACTGCAAGCCTATGGATACCCCTGTGGTTAAGGGACATAACCTAAGCGAGGAAATGCGCCCTACAAAACAATGCGATATAGAACGTATGAAGAGAGTCCCATACTCAAGTGCCATTGGCAGCCTAATGTATGCCATGTTGTGTACTAGGCCAGACATATGCTTCGCAGTCGGACTTGTGAGTCGATTCCAATCCAATCCAGGAGTCAAACACTAGGAAGCTGTAAAGAGGATTATGAGATATCTAAAAGGAACCATGGACTATGAGCTATGCTATCAAGGAAATGGCCTTCGTGCGGAGGGTTATTCGATGCTGATTGGGCAGGAGACTTGAACGAGCGACACTGACGTCAGGCTATGCTTTCCTACTGAATAACGAAGCAATCTCCTGGAGCAGCAAGAAACAAACGTGTGTGTCTCTTTCATCCATGGAAGCAGAATATGTAGCTTGTTCTACAGCTGTCCAAGAAGCTATGTGGCTCAAAAGATTCTTAGTACGATTGGGAATCCATGGTGGGAGTGAGGGACCAACTCTGATTCACTGCGATAGTCAAGCAGCAATAGCCTATGCAAAGGACCCTAAGTACCACAATGTACTAAGCATATAGACATAAAATATCACTTTGTAAGGGATATGATCGCTAAGAAACAAGTGACAGTTCAATACTTGTCCACTCATAAGATGTTGGCAGATCCCCTAACCAAGCCTATAGCTAGAGATCCTTTCGTTAAGCATGTAAAGGCTTTGGGCATGCGTAGAGCATGATGTATTGAACTCCTTTTTCTTTTTGATCCTTTTTTTGTTCAAATACGCAGGCATAAGGCATGTTGTACTGAACTTTTTGTTTCCTCTTACTTAGTAATTCAATGCATTTTATCCAGTTCAAAGAAATTTTTCTTGTATATACATTTGTGTATTTATACATGCATAGGCACAAGTTATGCAATACAAATATGTCGTACAGATCACAAAGTTGGCTCACTCACACGAGCAATCGCCTCGCTATGTTCTCATGGGATATAGAAGGTTTGACAGCAGATGATCACCATGAGATAGTAGAGAAGAATCACTGCACAAATGTCACCTCAGCTAGACTGAGATGAGACCCATAAAAGTTTGGGCCGAGTCATGGATAATGTGTCGTCCATGAGACCTGTAGCCAGACAAGGAACTCTTCACTAGTAAGACGTCATATATGGTTGTGATGAAAGAGCTCCTAGTTCAAATGTTGGAGTGCATTTGGAACTTAAGTCTGTACGATGCTCTTAAAACCAAAAGCGACATACTCCACTTGGTGGATTGAGCACCGTAGCATGCAATTCATACTGCATGAGATGGAAAATCCCTGATCCATTACGGTGTGAGTCCCAGAAAGGAAATAAACCTTTCATAATGCCCTTAAGACTTAGACGACATCACAAGGTTTTGGTTTAGTGGCAGCTACTCTAGCCTAAACCCCATGGTCAAGAATGATGCGATCTAACGGGTCAAGACTGAGAAAGCGACTATGCCAAATCTAAATGATGAATAGTCAGAAGGAAGATTTATCCTGAAATACACATCTACGTTGGTGTTTGTGACATGTCCCTTGCAGGTTGAACAGAACAACTAAGCAAGTGTGGATACCATACGTATGAGAAGGCAATCTGAGTAAACAAAATAACTCGAGAGGGATTAGATATGCCACAAGTAAAGTGTATGGATAAAACTAGGGCATTCGAGGCAACAAGCATACAATTTGCAGGTAAACCAAGGGTGTTCTTGTGTGCTGGTCCTGCATAAAGGAATCCTAGTGCACAGGCACCCGAATAGATGACGTCATGCCCACGCGATCACGGTAGACACCTAGTATGAAGCAATGAAAGATTTAGCTATCGCACGATGGGCAGCCCATCAAGTGCGAGTGGGAGATGTTAGATTTTGGGCTTGGGATCTGCCCTTGATGGGCCGAATTATTTGACCGGGTATAAAGAGAATATATCAGTCAAATATCCAAGCGATATTGTGATATGTTTGACTTGGTCAAACATCCTGAATCATATCCAATCGATTACGATATAAATCTAATTAATTTATATTGTGTAGATTAAATATATATTAAGTATATATATTTAGAATTAATTGTGATTGATTCTAGATTTAAATTCAAATATCATGATATTATGAGATAAGGATATATTATATCTTATCTCAGATTTTATCTGATGGGCTCAGTGGATATTTTTATGCTACCCAAAATATCCCTGACAAAAGCTATAAATAGAGGCTTCCCCCCATCAGTTCAAATCACTCCAGTAGTAGAGCTTTCCTACTATATATATCTATCTATCTATATATATCTCTTATTTTCTTTCTTGCAAAAGAGGTGCTCTGCTGTGCACTTAAAAGCTTAGACTTTTATAGTCTAGCTTAAGCATGAGCTAAGAAGATCCAACCGACCCGACCTGAGATCCGACCGGTATGTTTTCGATCCATTATCATATTAATCTTACACATCTGTATTTAAAGACAATTTTTTATAATATCATTTTGCTTTTCACCACAAAAAAACCAAAGGTGAGGAGGAGTAGTCTTTTGAAAGCTGACTTTTGAAATACCAATGATCGTATGATCTGATGGCATGACCTTCCTTTTAAAAATGGGAAGCTATGGGTTGAATCCTTCTCATAATTTTAAAATTTTGAATCGTTTGTGTCTGTTATTTGATTCATAACGGGAAAAATTGGCTTTGAGATGGTTTGGATCTGTTTTATACAAATCGGCTTAATGAATAATAAGCTTGTAAAATTCAAACAATATTTTATCAAAAGTACTTTTGGACACCGTCCAAAATTTTAAAATTTTGAATCGTTTGTGTCTGTTATTTGATTCATAACGGGAAAAATTGGCTTTGAGATGGTTTGGATCTGTTTTATACAAATCGGCTTAATGAATAATAAGCTTGTAAAATTCAAACAATATTTTATCAAAAGTACTTTTGGACATCAACAGAAATTAGATCCAGCAGAAGGAGCTAATCTTTCACAACGTGATGAACTAGGATTTGAATCCTCAGAGGAACTATGCATAGGAAAGGAGGAAAAAAAAGTATTTTTGGGCTGCTGAAATTAGAGGCCTATGACCTAACGTATTGAGTAAGCCTTATTTAATAAATAGGCTAGGTTCAAGCTAAAGCAATATGGTGATATTAGATTTTGCTCACTCATCTAGCTAACTTTTCAGATGAAGCTGCAGGCTAATTGTTCACTTCATTTTTGCAAAAATTACTTGCTATATATGTAAATTTTAATCTTGTACTATACGTTCTAAATATAATATCTAATTTTTAATTTAGGAACAGAGGTAGTATATATACACACACATATATGTAACTCTACTATTTTGATGTTATTGATTAGGATACTAGGTTTGCCATTGACTAATACATTAGTTTTCCCAATTCAAGCTAATGAAAAAAAAATCAGGGAGATCATTTATGAATTCTGATCATATACTCTATATTGATGCTAATTCTCCATGTGGCTACAACCAACGAAGATGCCCACTGCAGGATATTATGTCACCTTCCAGGAAATTAGCAAACTTCAAGGGATGCTTGGGTAAGAACAAACTCATGGTTTCAGAAATGCTTTTATGGTATACGAAATAAATATGTGGAGGAGTTTACCTCGATTTGCAGAAAAGTGTTTCTGAAAAGTGATTATGGGATTACCCAAACACCCCCTTCTCTTGGCTTATCAATGTACATTTATCTTCCAAAGAAGTTTTACTCTTCAGTCAATTAATTCTGTCGTGTGTATGCATGGGTCACAAAGATTGAAGTTACGTGAAAGGACTTAAGAATAATGAATTACTATAACATACTGCTCTGTTCCTTATTATAGGTCACTTATACTCCAAAAGTTTGTTTCAAAATATAAGTCACTTGTAGTATAATTAATGATTTTTTTTTCAATTTTACCCCTATTAATTTAATAAAAAATTAATTAATCTCTCTCTCCATCTCTCTTTCAACTTTTCATTTCTTATGCAATCCATCCCCTCCCTTTCTCTCTCTCACTTACAACTTTTAATAAGGGTAAATTAAAAAAACTGATTAATTTAATGTATTTATTGGTTTGCGGGCTTGGGATGCAAGTGACTTATAATAAGTAACAGAGTGGTAGTACCTCAATATGATATGGTTTTCTCGCAATGTATTGGCAGATTTTCATGCCAAAACAGGAATAAAATGATCAACAAACATATAACAAAGCTCTTATAACTTTCTATCACTATTTGCTCTCTTCTTACATTCGTGATCGCACGCCTCTTTGTCTGTTCGTACCAAGAAATTAAGTCCTAACCTATTTAAGAGAAAAAGACATGGGAAATTACTACCTCCGGTTCTTAATATAAGAGCTCTTTTGACTTTTATTCTAATCCTAAATATGAGACTTCAAACCATTTTGTCTTTCATATATATTTATTTATTTCCTAAATATGATACTTTTAGCCAGTACACTTGATTAGTAAGAATATTTTTACAAAAGATAACATATATTTATTACAAATAACTAACTTAATTAATTTCTTTAATTTATTCAAATTAGTCAACCAGCTCTTATATTAAAGATAGGAGGTAGTATTAAATAAGAAGCCTACCAAATAGTACTGTTTTAAGAGTTTCATCGTTTTCTCAGAACTATATATATCATCCTTGTTACTGCTAAACTGTGCAGAACCCAGATCATGCCCCGTACGAACTTCACCCTTGGACCTTAACTAATTTCTCCTTCAAATCACAGATATTAAACAACATACTTAATTAAGATCTCTCTCGCTTCTCTATGATTTAATCTCATGCAGGCGTACGTGCATGGCCTCTCAAATTACGGACCCTTTTAACACCATAAGGCATCACGCCCGACGTCGATCACGATCGAGTGACGGAAGTTAAAGGTCTTTCACTCTCTGACATTGCCTCTTCACGGTCCGTACATTCTAACTCGCTGGAAAACTCTTCATGGCGGTCCACGGCAACCGTCTGATGCTGTCTTTGGCTGTGGGTGCTATTACTGCCACGGGATGATCCGTTCTCCACCACCACCACGGCTCCAAAATGCACATGGCGCTCCCCGCCTCCACCGCCGCCATTATTTTGGGAATGAGTGGCAACGGACTCGTAGCTGCTGACAGAAGGCCGAGCAACGGCCTCTGATGGTGCGGCGGCAGATTTTGGCGTACCGGAGGAGGGTTTATTATTATTATTATTATCATGACTGTTCCGGCGACGGAATTGATGACCGCCGGCATCGACCATGGGTTTGAAGCAGCGGTAGAGATAAATGAGAAACCAAATGATCCATGGGATTGCAACGAGGACGAGGCCGAGAATGGCAAACCATGATTCACCCTTGTGGGCAGATGGGACGAAGATGTAGAGGCAGAGGAGGATTCCGCCGGCGGTGCTGCAGAAGAAGAAGAAGACGAAGATTATGTAGATTCTAACATCGTCTTTTCTATCTCCCATGGAAAATGAGGAGGAAGAAGAAGAAGAAAGATATGAAGATGGGAGAGAGATGGATGAATATGGACCTCTCTCTCTCTTTGGCTATTTTCTTTCGTCGGAACTTTTCAAGAAAGCTTTTGGACAGTAAGAGAAGATGACTTTGACGCAGTAAACGCGGGGGTGGTTTATTATTGTTTAACTTTAACAGATATTTATATTTTTAAAATAATATATTCTTATTTTCAGTTTTTTTTTTTTAAATTTTCATTTGTATATTTGGTCTTCATATTTTTTGGCAAATGTTACATAATTCCATATTAGAATGGATGGATTTGTATCCCCGTCTTGGAGCAATTCATCCTAACTACGGCTGTTATAGTCATTAACAAATGAGTAATAAATTTATTTTTAAAAATCAATAAAAGTCCTTAATTGTAACTCATATTACAACTAATAGTTAACAACTTAATATTACTCAGTCTCATTTATAAAGCAGAAAGAAAAAAAAAATTTTATTTACAATCCAATACATATAAATAAATTATGGATTAAGATGTATTTAGTACCCTCAAATATTTTTTTGCTTTGGGATTAGCACCGGAAGATTTTTTGCATTGGTGTTGAATGCATAAAAAAAATATTTTAGAATGCTGGATGCATCTAAAAAAATATTTTAAGATACTGAATACTTTAAAAAATACTTTACAATGCTAGACACATTTAAGAAAATATTTTAAAGTATTGGATACACCTCTAAATACTTTAGGTTGCATGGTGCATCCTAAGCCATCAATTATTGAAAATTAGTGGAAAAAAAGAGAGAGATAATTATTAATAGTTGACTATTAGTTTTTCTCATTGTATTGAAAATCAGACCGACTGGGTTGGACCGAAAGATCACGTGAATTGAAAAATTCTATTGAAAAGAAACTATAAGTATATTTTTATTTTATTAGTAATTCAAGATATTAAATTGATATTTATATAGTCTTTAAATGGTATGATAAAAATTTAAATTATTTTCTAATTTTCTTACTTTTCACCAGTTTGACTCAGGACGATCTGACCTATTAACCTTTGACTCACGGTATTGAATGGTTCAATAACTAGTTCATTTTTTACTACCTTAGTTTTCCTTCACTTTAATTAACTTAGCTAATAAGGAACTCAACCAACGTAAGAAATCGAAAAATAAAGAATTTGTCCCCGTAGCTTTCATTGTTTTCCAGTCAGACTCCCCAACCATACAATTTGGGCCATTTGCAAAATTCATCCTATCAACAAATTCTATTGGCTCGAATGAGTAGTTAACAAAGAATACGTATGTGTATACGTAACTACGTATCATAGCATCACAACAACAGTTAAAACTTAGAAGTACTCAACCATGTGTATTTTAGTGTCTTTTTGGTATTATTATGTTGGTTTGACCAAAACTAATAGTATACTGTTAAATTAGTTATTTATAACAAATGTGTATTGGTTATCTTAAAATATTATTTTTAATCATATATATTATAACTACTCTTTAATGAAAATTCTCTTATTATATATTTATATATATATAATTAATAGGAATATTTTGAGAAAATTTATAAATTTAAGAGATAAAATTAATAGAAATATTATATTTAGAACTAAAATAAACTCATTATCTAACTTCTATCTTAAGAATAGGAGGCAGGAAAATACGAGGGGCTCAAAAGTATTTGTGTTTAAGGGGGAAAATGTGACTTTTGTAGGTAAAATATAAAGGGAATAACATATAAGACCATAAGATGAAGAGGATATTGCATACTGGACATATAACCGAGATATTTGAGACGGGCAGAAAGAATATAAGACAGGAGGATTCAAGTTGGAAGCCTAGAAGATGATCAATTACTCCTCATGTCAATCCATTTAACTAATTTGATTAGATTAAGAAAGTTAGGTAGGTTAGTTAATTATAAGAAAAGTGACATATTTTTCCTAAAACACCATAATCATCTTTTTTAATACCTCATTTCTCTCATACTTAATTATGATTAAGAGAGTATCTATAGGGGTAATTTAAAAAAAATTGATAAATATAAGAAATGGGTCTTATATTTAGGACCAAAACCAACTCAAGAATTAGGTTATATATTAAGGACGGGAGGAGTATATATAATAAGAACGAAATTTAAACGACCACCGATTTCTGCTGCAAGTTGATATACGCTCCTTCCGTTTGAAATTCCCTTGCTATATATTTATTTATATGCGATTAATAAAGATATTTTAAAAAAATTTATAAATTTGGGAGATAATTAAAATTTTATATTTAGAATTAAAATATATCTATTATTTTATATTTAGGATTAAAATATATTCATTATCTAACTCCTATGTTTAAGGTAGGATAATATAACATTCTTCATAACATGAACTTAGTTAAATGATTTTTTAAGAGATGCCTTGTTCATTGCTCAGCTTTCATATGATAAATTTTTGCCAAATCAGCATTTACTTAACATCATTAATGCCACTTGCGCAATATTGAGAGGGCCATTTATGAAGATTTAATTCAAGTTAAAGAAAATGTTTATCTTTAAATTATTTTACAAGAAGCATTGGTTATTCTCAATTATTTATTGGATTACTATTGCCTCACAAATGTTAAAATTGTTAATGTTGCCTGTCGACATCGACGCTGTATATGTTAACTTTCAATGTATTTTAGGTTAATGAGCATTTTTGTTGTTAGGATATCATCAATTTGCACCATTATTTTTTTTTCTAATAAAAACATTTTGCATCATGGTTAGAATGTCACACACTATCTCTTGTCTTTAATATAAGAACTAGTTATAAATTTAATTTTGATCTTAAATATAAGATCTAAGTTTACTTTATCTTTAATATTTATCTATTTTACAGCCAAGTAATGCCATAGTAATGGTACATGTTAAGGAATTTCTATCAAATGTTATTTAAATGACATAATAGGAGTATTTTAAGAAAGATAACATTTATTTATTACTGATAACTAACTTAATCAATTTTTTAATATTTATAACTTAATTATTTAGCTATTATATTAATAACTATAACAAGTGTATGATTTGGCCATTACAGGTATTTATCATAAAAGTCTATTAGTTATTTAGTATGTAGCATGTGCCAATGATGAACTAACCATACTGTTGTCCACTGTCATAAGATATTGAGGTATTCATTAATAAAATGTAGACATATATCAACTTTTTTTGTTTTGTTTCGGCATTCATTTCATCCTCATTTTTTTTAATCAAAAACATGTGCATCATGTTTTGGTGATTAATATAGACTTGATACCTTCATAAATACTCTTCTGATCCTATTTATAAAGTAGATAAAAAGTTTTTCTTGATTCTATTTATAAGTCACTTTATTAAATTTTTAGTATGAATATACTGTTTTATCTTTTATTTATTATACTACAAATAGTTATTTCTTTTGAAAGATGTATATATTAAATAGAGATAAATTTAAAAAATGGTTATATTTTAATAGAGAATTAATGCAATTTAATATTTTTCTTAATTAGTATAAAATATGTTAGAAGTATCTTATAAATAGGATTAGAGAAGTATTTAATTGACCAAACAATGAGTACTTTAAATACAATGCCAGATGTTTTCATGGAAAAACAATCCGGATTCCGGAGTACTAATTGATTTGCATTATGGAACTTTAGTGTATTAGTTACTCTTCCATACACTGTTATTAAACTCGTGAGTTGACTCTTTAAGTTTAACGTTTTTACGCTTTTAGCTAATAAAATCGTATCGAATCGCTCTTAAACTCATGATACCTGTAAATTCAATTAAACTTACAGGTTCATTTACCTAGTTTACCGTTTTTACGTTTTTAATTTAGAAAATTGTGTCAACTTGCTTTTAAACTCACGCTAAATTTTTTAATTTGATTATGTTTAGTGACTTTATATATGAATTTTATAAAAATTTCTTTGTTGAATGTGATAAATTATAAACATTGATGAATATAATTTTAATTATTTAAATTTAAAATATATTTAAATGAAATTGTTCTCATTTTTTATGTATTAATTATTTGATTATATACTTTTAATACCAGTTTATTAAACTCTTATGAGTTTACGATTCGAGTTTATATCATTATCACGAGTTTGTTTAAACTCACAAGTTTGACAACCTTGCTTTCATAAATACTTTTGAGGTAAAAAAAGTCCTTCTTTAATGCTATGTTTGGTACGGGATTTTTGAAGGGGAGGGAAGGGAAGTTGTTCCCCTCCCCTTGTTTGGTTAGTGTAATTTTTTAGGAGGGGAGGGGGGCTCGTTTGGTTAAGATGTTTTTTAAAGAGGGGAGGGGTTTTTCTTCCTTCTCTTTCCCTTCTAGCCTCCCCTCCAAAAGTGGGGTTTTTTGGAGGGGAGGTGAGAGATAATATTTTAATTCGTTATATACCCTTTTGATTTTTTAACCTCTAATCAGTCGTAAACATTTATACATAAGAGAGTTCTTTTAAGTATCTAACAAGAGGTTATTAAGATAATTGTCTCCAAAATTAGTGAGCATTTGTAAACTTTTTTTTTCTCTTCTTCTAATTCCAAGAAGCCGTTGGTATTTTCTTTCACCTTCAGGTTATTTTCTCTGATTGAAATCTATTACTTGTGACTTTTTATCTTGATATTCTATAAGTGTGTGACTGTGTCTTGTAAATCAAAATTGGTGAATTGTATTATATATTTATAGTTATATCTTAACAAAATAAAAAAGTGAGAAAATTCATTTAAATTTTATGAGGTTAAAATAATTAATTTTTTATTAGAACAAAATAAGGTATTATTAAAATTGCTCTCTCCCTTCCCCTCCAATCAATCCAAACAGGAGATCATTAAAATCCCTCCCCTCCCCTCTCCTTTGTAGCTACCCTCCCCTTTCCTCCCCTCCCCTTCCCTTGATTAAAATCCCTCCCCTCCCATTCTCTCCGTCGAGCCAAACACAGCGTAAAAGTTGGGATTGATGGTCAGCATCTCATGAAATGGTTGAGGAATAGAATTATCTTCAGCTTATATAATTAATATAAAATTAAATAATTAATTTGTAAATATTAATAAAATTATTTAAATTAGTTATTAATTATGTGAGTGTATTAATAAATTATTTATTGACAGAAACTTCGTACCATATATGATCATTATGGGGATTATTTAGGAGGCAAAAGAAACAAATGTTACACACAAATTAAATTGAAATTTTATATTTAAACTAAAATCAAATTTTTAACTAGTTTTTATATCAAAATAAAATAACCAAACTAGAAGTGAATGCAAAATATGGCGACATTGTGATGAATATTCTTCTTCCCTAAGAAAATATACTGAACGAAAATAGAAGACGTGGAATTCTCTAGACGAGGATTTTGGCTCATGGTGCGGACCGGCTTCTTAACGGGCGGTTTCATATCTTCTTGCCGACCGGTATTCTCCGGTCAGAATCAGAGCCGCCAGAAATGTATTGTAATGGACTTCTGGTCCCACTGACGCAAGGCGATACCCCTTCTTCGAATTTCAAAATTTGAAATTTCCAAGCAACTTTCCTCATAACGACAAATCAGAAAGCAAAGCCAAAAGCCAAATTCAGTAACCATCACAACAACGGTGCACCCCTCCACTATACGGTCTTTCTCTCGACGGCAGAATTTTCCTTTTCGGTAATTTTTGAAGTCGCATATTCTTTTTCTCGAGAATTAGCGTTCGTTTGAGGTCATAATTCTTCTCCTGGTTCTTCTTCCCCCACTTTGAACTGATCTTGGAAATAGGGTTCTCTGAAGCCTCAAGGAGAGCTTGAGCTAGATAGAACCTTCAGGATGACGACCATGGAGAGCTTGATTGGGTTGGTGAACCGTATCCAGAAGGCCTGTACTGTGCTCGGTGACTATGGAGGTGGTGATAACACGTTTTCTTCTCTCTGGGAGGCTCTTCCTTCCGTTGCTGTCGTCGGTGGTCAGGTGTGTAATCCTGTCATCGTTTAAATTTTGACCAGTTGGAGTTTATGATGCGAACAATTTGGGTCGGAAAAAAGGATGATCAAAGTCATCGAAGTTGTGTTGTTTTTATTTCCGTTGTTGTCCCCCTCCCCTCCAATTTTGCTTCTGGCTAGCTGGGTTCTTAATTTTTCTTTTGTTTTCTTCGAAACGCCGAACAGAGTTCCGGGAAGTCTTCCGTTTTGGAGAGTATTGTTGGTCGTGACTTCCTTCCCAGAGGGTCAGGTTCGGTTTTCCCTCTCTTTTCTTTTAAGCCCTCATTTCTTGGTCTCAATTTGATGGAAATTCGTTTCTTTCTTACGATGCTTGTATGTTAATTGCAGGGATTGTGACGAGACGTCCTTTGGTGCTGCAGCTTCATAAGACGGACGAAGGATCGCAAGAATATGCCGAATTCCTTCACCTGCCAAGGAGAAAGTTCTCCGACTTTTGTACGTGTTTTTGATACTGTGTTCTTTTCACTTCCGCATTCATGATAATTATGAGGAGTATTGTAATGTGCATGCATATTCACAACTTATTGGGGGGGGGGGGAATGTTTGGTTTCTATTAACAGAGTTGTAATCCTGTTCGTGTTTCTGGGTCTGCAGACAATATATTTGATTGTATCTCGTCTCTTTTGTAAGAAGATTTTACAGTTAGTAATAAGCGTAGTCGTATACTTAACTGTTAACTGTACTGCTACACGTAATGCCCTTATTTTTTATTATATTTATGATTTATGATTATGATTATGATACCAATGCTTTTGTGAAATCGAATTTTGCTATAAAATTTCAATTTGGGGATGTCCATCCCAATCTTAGGTTGTTCATAAATTCACTAAGCAACTTTGTTTGTGAACCTTTGCTTTCTATCATGTCACAGATTGCATTGTATTTCATAACAACAAATTTTTAGGAGCTTATAAAGGTTGGGCCTGTGCGGTTGACCACGTATGCTGGTTCAAAATTTTAATAAATTTATTTATTAAACTTGTTTATTTTTATTTTTATTTTTTGTGCTGATAAATAGCAATCTAGAGACCTCAAGCATTTTATTCCTATGATTTGATTATTGTTCGTAAGGAGCTCCCCACGTCTCCCCCCCCCCCCAAAAAAAAAAAAAGAAGAAAGAAATGTGCGGTTGGGGTTATGAGATTTCTACATGAGGGCCACCCTTACCTTGCTTGGCCTTCTTGAGTTTTTTAATGAGCTATATACCTGCATTATCTGCCTCTGCCTCTTTCTGGTTCTGATGAAGCTGCATGTCCGTTTAGTTGGTTGCAAATTTTTATGCTTGTGTATTGGGCACATGTGCGTGTATTGACTCTGCCGACTATTTTTACTGGAGCATCATGTTTCCCCTGTACCTAGATAGCTTTCTGTGCAATGCACATGAGCAATATCGACTTCAATGCTTATCAAAGATTATACTCGGGAAATGTGTACAGAAAAATTGAAAGAATAAGAAAGGTTGCATGGAACTTGAGCAAAGTTGTTTTGTTCATAGCTTTTAAATAGTGTGGGTCTCTATTGATTATATTATATATATATTTTTGTGACTATTGATTATATCTCATGTTGATTGGTTTAGTTGATGATTTTATGCAGTTGATTTTCATATTTTCTCGTAGCTGAAGATACAAATGTTGCTAATACTGATGCATATTCTATGGTCTGGTGCAGCCCTGGTTCGCAAGGAAATTCAGGATGAAACTGACAGAGTCACTGGAAAGAGCAAACAAATATCTCCTATTCCGATTCATCTTAGCATCTATTCTCCAAATGGTGAGCTTCGGTTCTTTGAGGTCCTTAATGCTAGATTATAAATATCTATCATTTTCTTGCAGACAACTAGTTGTTATCTGATGTGTCCAATGTTGTAGTATTTTATAAAGGAGAACCTTATTATCATTTTAGTATGCATGTTCTCTTGGCAGACAACTAGTTGTTGTCTGATGTGTCCAATTTTTTAGTATTTTATAAAGGAGAACCTTATCATCATTTTAGTATGCATGTTCTCTTTTTCTTTAAATGACTTTTTTGGCCTAAGGAAAATGATTATTAAATGGAGTGACAACAGAATACAGAGATTATACGCGACCAAAATAAAATGGAGGAAGAATCATTAGAAAAACTTATCAGTACAGTCTATGACATATCCTCTTGCCAGTCTAAGCTGGAAGGCCCTTAAAGCAACTTTTTGCTGAACTTCATATGGAAGCCCACATTTGCATTTTGCAAAGTTAAAGATACAAATTCTCTGCATGAGAATTGGGGGGAAAATTATGGCATTGCATTCCGTCTTAAGACATCATTTATCCTGCTTTCCTCTGCCGAGTCCTTGTGCATTGTGCTGAAAGAAATCCTCCTAATCTGCTCAGACAAACCCTAGGATTTTAGAAAATTCCCAAGGGCCTACTCCGCATGAATCTAGCTACCTGACATAGAAATGCCTGCTAGATAGTAGATTCCAAGCTTACGAGACATTTGATGCTCATGAGGAGCTAAGGCATTATGAGTTCCTGGCATTCATAACTGATGACAAATCATTTGTATCATGAAAGGCATTTTGAAGAATTAGAAGAATCAGTTACGTGGATCTTCTGATCTGCATCTAAAGTAAAGTGAGTAGAATCTAGTTAAAACAAAAGCGACACAAAAATATGATTTTTCATATAAATATTACTCCTGAAATATGCAAAATTCATCACAAATGTAAAACCTGTGGATTGGGGAATAATTCGGAGAGTAAATGCAATATAATATGGGAAAGCCTCCACTAACAAATTTCACTAGTCCACAATATTTTATAACCAGACTCATGAGGTGTTTACTGATCCTCATTCAAACCCTCATGGGTTATCTATTACTAGAGTGAGTGGAACTAATTGCTTGTTTAGATTCCTATTCCTGAGTTCCTAACTAAATTGATGAATATAATGATTATTCTGAATGCATAACGCCTGGTGTGGTTGTTACTTGGCTCAGAATTATTTGTCCAGTTTCAATACTAGTTTTCCAAATGTTCCTTGATGTTTCTTTTCTTTTCTGCTTCTGTTCTCTTGCCTCTTCCTCTAGAAGCCTTTGTCGGCTTATGCAAATGCTAGTTCACTAGCAGTTTGCTTGCTTTTCAATCGATAAGCATTTGCAACCCTAGGACGTTGTCCTCTATTTTTTAGGTTGGTGCACCATGTATCTTCGTTGCAGCTGAACTCACATCTACAGTAATTTCCCCTATAAATTCACTATATTTCAGGTTATAAGAACAACAGTTGTCTGTGGTTTTATTTTGTTTATGATTTTTAATGTAGTTTTTTTATGTAAACTTTTTTCGTTTTACTAATTTTCTAAGCGTGTGGCAATTTATATTCCTTAAAGCATAGCTTATGGCTTAAAATAAGAGTAGTCGTTCTATGTTATTTATATATCGATGCATTATTAGTGTAAACTTCTAATGTCTTGTCTTTCTCCTATTTACTTGAACAGTTGTCAACCTAACCTTGATTGATTTACCGGGTTTGACCAAAGTTGCTGTAGGTATGTTATGAATTTAATTTAATTTCTAATGATACATTAATTGTTTGGACGAAAGATATATGTTATCTTGCATTGTGTTTAGCAATTGTATTGTCATTTTCAGAAGGACAGCCAGATACTATTGTTGAAGACATTGAAATGATGGTTAGATCTTATGTTGAGAAGGTAAAAGGACAATATCCCTATGCTGTGAACATTAATGACCTATCTGATAACAACACCATAATTGCATTCTCTTTGCCTCATTGGGATCAAATAAATTATAGAACTTTGCATGATAGGATCTTCTACAGTTAGCCCATTCCAATTAATTTTTTTTTCCTTTCAAGCAATTAGATAAAGAACGAAGTGTTTTACAGTTAACATGAACGACTAATGTATGCAACTTAATTAATTAATTGAATAATAACGCATACTTTTTTATTTTCGTGTTTGTTTTTGTTCAAAAGACTTTGGGAGAAGCTTACTTGTGATATTGTGATGGCCTGATAGCTTTTACTGGTATTTCGCGTTGCCTGTTGTGGTTAACATTGTATGCTATCAATTATAATACGACATCCCTTTATGTTCCTCTGGTTGATGTTTACTTTGTTCGATGATCTTTTAATAATAAATTGGTTTGGTAGTATTACTCTTGATTTTCAACTTTTCACATCTGCATTATAATTTTATGCTTTTGGCAGCCTAATTGCATTATACTAGCAATATCTCCAGCCAATCAAGACATAGCAACTTCTGATGCTATTAAACTTTCCAGGGAAGTGGATCCCACAGGTATTTTTCCTTGTCTTGTTCATATATGGCCTGGCCTTACTAGAGTCACTGTCTGTCGCTGAAAATTTTATGGTACTCTGGTAGGTGAACGGACATTTGGGGTGCTGACAAAATTGGATCTGATGGATAAAGGAACAAATGCATTGGAAGTAATCTCTCTTTCTTGATGCTTTCCTCTCTTTATGATTGATATCCTGTACATGTTTTAGTTTGAAGCATGCCTATGTGGTCATATAGTTGCTTATTCCTATATTGCATTTATTTCTTCAAGGTCCTAGAAGGAAGATCTTACCGATTGCAACATCCTTGGGTTGGTATTGTGAATCGATCCCAAGCAGATATCAATAAAAATGTTGATATGATTGCTGCTAGACGCAAGGAGCGTGAGTACTTTGCCACCAGTCCTGACTATGGGCACTTGGCCAGTAAAATGGGTTCAGAGTACCTTGCAAAACTTCTATCACAGGTTGGTCTCTGTGGAAAATATTCTTCTTCTTCTTCTTCGTCTTCTTGTTTCTTTCCTTTTTTTTTTTTTTTTTTAAGGGAGTATGATTTTAACTATGAGCTCCTCTGCAGCAATTGGAGTCGGCAATCAGGGCACGGATACCTAGTATAACATCTCTGATAAACAAAAGCATTGACGAACTTGAGTCAGAGATGGATCATCTTGGGAGACCTATTGCGCTTGATGCTGGGGTGAGTAGTTTTCTTTTATTATGATTGAAAAGTGTATCATTCCTTTTTAAAGATGTCTTTTGAATTTTTGTTGAAGTATGACTTCTGTTTTAGGCTCAATTATACACCATACTGGAACTTTGCCGAGCATTTGACCGGATATTCAAGGAGCATTTAGATGGCGGGTAATATATGAACTTTCATTTTCTACTACACTTTCATATTGCTTCCTTAATATTGTTTGAATTTTTGGGTAGCATCTGAAGATTGCAATTTAACCATTTCTACCCCTATTTTTTGTCCCCTTAACAAGTAAAATCATTTGAGCATGTTAGTTGAGGGATAAGCAGGCTAGCATTGAAATAGTTCTATTCTAGAAAACTACTGTATAATGCCACACAGTACTGTACTTCCAGGTGGTTAATCAATCTGAAACGAATGTTTAGAAGTCAAGTAGTTATTACTGAAAATTAGCTAATCAGTCTCATTGGTTACTTGATGTGCCTCTCCTTTTAATCATCATATGTGCCTCTCCTTTTAATCGTCATAGGCGACCAGGAGGAGATAGGATATATAATGTCTTCGACAATCAGCTGCCTGCTGCTTTACGGAAGCTCCCATTTGACCGGCATCTTTCTATTCAGAATGTAAGGAGGGTGGTATCAGAGGCTGATGGTTATCAGCCTCACTTAATTGCCCCGGAGCAAGGTTATCGGCGCTTGATTGAGGGGTCTCTCAATTACTTTAGAGGCCCAGCTGAGGCTTCAGTTGATGCTGTAGGTAGTCCTGGTTGTAATCTTTTTCTCATTACCATTCATAGAAGATTGACTCTTTCTCTTTGATGCAGGTTCACTTTGTCTTGAAAGAACTTGTGAGAAAATCAATAGCTGAAACTCAGGTAAATATTAGGGATGTTTCTTACTTGTTACTTTTCTTACCAAGCTAGAGCAATCTAGTCTAGAATAATACTAATACTTGTGATAATCTAAACAGGAACTGAAGCGTTTTCCAACTGTTCAAGCTGAAATAGCTGCAGCTGCAAATGAGGCTTTAGAAAGATTCCGTGAAGAGAGTAAGAAGTGTACAATTCGGCTTGTTGACATGGAAGCGTCTTACCTGACTGCAGATTTCTTCCGGAGACTTCCCCAAGAAATTGAGAAAACTGGAAGCGGAAATACTCCTGCTGCAACAACTGTGGATCGTTACTCAGAGGGCCACTTCCGGAGGATTGCATCAAACGTGTCATCCTACATAGGTTTGGTGGCAGATACCCTCAGGAACACCATTCCGAAGGCTGTTGTTTATTGTCAGGTCAGAGAAGCGAAACATTCCTTGCTAAACCATTTCTACATACAAATAGGGAAGAAAGAGGTACTCTCTCTCTCTCTCTCTCTCTCTCTCTCAGAGACACATACGTGCCCCCCTATAACCCTATTTATTTACCTGTCTGTCAATCTTGCGTGCTGTTTAACGTTATTGGAAACTAAGATACAAAGCTGAACTTGTGGGAAATTTCTAAATAAGGGTTGAGTAGGTTGAGCAAGAGCAGAACATTATTTAGAGATATTGATTCTTGGTAGCAAAAAACACACACACACACGTTGATTCTTGCTGTTAAGTGAGTACTCTAAAACCACTGACTATCTTATTTCCAGTTGCCATCGCAAATTTTGATTTATCATTTTTTTTAAATTAATGAAATTTTATAACCCAATGGATAGGCAAAATACTCTTGAAGATTGAATTACAACTATGAGATTGACATTTGCCTTGCTGTCTTCTGTGCATTGTATTGGTTAACTGTCTCTGTTAATTATTTAAGGCATTTCATTGATGTGATTCAGTTGGTTTTTATGCTTGTCGGGGATTCACCGTTTTTACTCTTTTTTTCCCCGCTCTTCTTTTCCAGGGTAAGCAGCTTTCACAATTGTTAGATGAAGACCCAGCATTAATGGAGAGGAGACACCAATGTTCTAAAAGGCTTGAACTGTACAAAGCAGCTAGAGATGAAATTGACTCGGTCTCATGGGCACGATGATCTTGGTGTCTGTCTCAATCACCTTGTATTATATAGCTAATAGAGATTGATTATGGATTACTTCATATTCTTTGTTTTTGGGATAATTTAGTGATTTTTGTTTTTATACTGTTGATCATAGGATACTATTAATCACTTGTTTGTTTGGAGGCGGATGTACATCTATGCAAACCCTCAACCTTCTCTGATTTTAGTATATGATTTTTTTTATACATTTTTTTAAATGAATAAACAAGGCTATAGTGATAAGTGATCAAAATTCATTAATGAAAGTGGATTTTAAAACGTTACATAGGAAAAGGAAATAGGATAGGAATTTAAAAACCTAAAGAACTAAATCAATGGAAGGAGAAACTTTGACGAAATAAAAGGAGAAACTTCTAAGTAGGTGAACAATGTCCTGATGAATGACATTAACTGAATGAGAATAAGCAGTATTGGAGGGAGGGTCATACTTCCGCTAATCTAATCCAAAGTGAGCTAATTAAGGAGTTATTTTTTAAAGGTAAAATTTTAGTGAAAAAAAATCTAAAAAAATACTTCTAAATTTTTAAAATCTCAAATCAAGAATGATTACGGAAAATATGTTGTTATTTGATTTTCAAATGTTGTAGATTGCTATTAAAGTCAATGAACAAAAAACCGGACCGGACACTAAACCGGTTGAGGTAGTGGTTCAAGGGTTAATGGGTCAGACCGAGGTTAACTCGGGATTAAACCGGTCATATTAAAATAATATAATTTAATTAAAAATGACAAAATATAACAATACTAATAATTACTAATAACAAAATATAAAGAAATACAATAAGAATTTGATTGTAATAATAATAAAGTACAACAATATTGAGAATTTTGATCTTTATAATTTTTCAATAACTAAAATTAATAGTTATTGATGCCAAACTCATCATCAAAATTCATTTAAATCTATAATAATTGAGATATTAGGAGTTAAATGAGAAAAAATAGTATAAATATCAATATATTTATTTAAATCGGTTCATTACCGGCTCATACTGGTTTTTACCGGTTTTCACACGTTCACACCGGTTTGACCGGTTCAATCCGGTTTGAACTGGTCCCCGGTTTAGCTTATGAACCAGACCAGACCACTGACCGGTTCATCGGTTTATCGGTTGAACCGGCTGGTCCGGTCCGGTTTTTTTTACACTGATTAAAGTACAGTGAATAAGACTAATTTAGAATTTTGAAATTTAAAAATATTTTTTTATGGATTCTCCCAATTTCATTTCACTTTTGTCTTTTAAATTTATGATTGTGAATTTTTTTTAAAGTTTTAATAGTTTTAACTTGCTTGAGGTCCAATCCATCACACGTGATTTGACAAGCGGGGTAAAGGTCTTTTTTTTTTTTTTTTTTTAATATTTGACTCCCTTAAAATCTAATCTTTAATTTATAACAGGTTTAACGGGTAATTTTTGTTTTGAAAATATTTAAGAAAGAGTTGTGGGTGCAAAAATTTAAGAAAGAATGTGCTTTGACTTGACTAATTATGATAGGGAGGATACTCCGCAACTTTGCTTCCTTTGCAGCAAGCTTCTCTTTCTCTTGAAGGAACTCAAGAGAGAAGACATGAGAAATCAATTCTGCAAGTGTTGTGTATTTTAACAGGGGCATATGTGTGAACTCATCTTTTTCATTAATGCACTCAAGTCCTTTTGGGACTCTCTAGTGCAATTAGCAAGTTTGAAGGGACGTTTTTTTTTTTTTTTTTTTACTGTATATCATCTTTCATGAGACTTCTGCCTTTTTTTTAAAAAAAAAAACACCAACCAAACTTACCCAGAATACCAATTGATCGAGTTCTTAAAAATATATTTGATAGCAAACTAGAGCTTCAAGAAAATTATAAACGATTTAAATTACACACAAGCATGTTTGAAAAGTTTAAAACCAAGGCATAAAAGAGTTCTAACTAACATACACACATTTTTTAATGCAGCTCACATATGTAGAGAAATTCAAAACTAATAGTATAAACGATTATAATAGCATTATGATCTAATTATTATAATTACTAAGAACATTAACTATTGTTAATATGAATTAATATGTTTATCCACATTATAAATCGTGAATAAAATAAAACAAGCATTAAATTAGATTATGCATATAAAGATATATTTATATAATTATTGAGTATTAAATTAAGAGAACCATAATAGAATCACATGCAGTTCACATGTATATAAAAAAAATTCCAAAATTACTTGTTACTCTTATAAATAATTACAACAAAGTTACTCCAAAATCGTACACATAACATATATTAATATATATCCCAAAAATTATTCTAGAGTTACCCTAAAACCACTCCAAACTACTTATAACTTTAAAGCTATTCTCCAAAATTTGGCCTTATATAAAGATATATACATATATTTGTGTGTGGTAATTTATGTATATATTTGGACATCGTATTATAATTGAACAGAGAAATTACATTATGTATATATGTTCAAAGATGAAGAGGAGGAGTTTAATATATCTGTATGTCCGTTGACGGTGATGCGGCAGGGCATAAGAAGGTGCAAGGAGGTGACACACAAATATATGTATTGTGCGTGTCAGCCAATGGCCTATGTGACAACGTGCCCTCAGGGATTTGGTTCATTGAGGCTGACGAGGCATTATATATGTTTATTTGATGGAGATGGAGGGAGAAAATGGATGAGAGGAAAATTAATTGGTGAGCATATGTTGATGGGAAGAAGATGGGAAGAAGACGCAGCAGAGGAGATGGAAAAAAGGGGAGAGAGAAAGCAAGGATGGAAATAAGAGGAAAGGCGGTGGCACTGACGTGAGAAAGTGAAAAAGATATATACTATCTAGTCTAGTTATTAATATAAGAGCTAGTTTGACTTTCAATTTGGTTCTAAATGTAAGACCTCAATTCACCTTGTCTCTCATATTTATCCACGTTTTTCAAAGTAGTCCTTGTAGTAGTTGCACATGTTAAATATTTTATCAAATGGTAATTCTATTCAATACACATTATTAGCAAGGGTATTTTAGGGAGGACAACACGTATTTGCTACAAATAACTAATTTAACAAATTTTCTTAATATACTCAAATTAGCTAACAAACTTTTATATTAAGGACCCAGGTAGTATATGTATATGCACACATCTATAGGTTTGCTTTAAATCGTTCAAAATAATTGTTTTATATTATTTTAAACATATCGTATTTACTTTCTAAAAATAAAATTGAGTTGTATTTATTTTAAGGCATCCAAGTATTAAAAATCTGATTACATTCAAATATTATCTAAATCATTTTTTTCAATCTTTCCAAATATTAAAAGCTTTTCTAATAATTATTTACCCAATATTATTTAAACCAATCTGAAGATAATATCCACCCACATATATATCTAAGATAATCATTTCAATGAGTTATTGTATTAGATATTCGTTTACATCCTTTCTAGTATCTTATTGATATGTAGAATAAATTTATTACATACTCTTTAAATATATACCTTATATCACAATTAACTCTTTAAATTAAAAAAAAAACGAGATGTTACATTTATAGTGCTTAACTCATTTTAACTAACATTTCAAACAACATGATTTGATTAATTGTGTCTTATAAAAAAAAAAAAAGAGAATAGATATTTTTGTTAATAAATGCCCCCTCTTCCCAAACCGTCATCCGTCCCAGAATTTTATTATCAGATTATTGCCTCATCAATTTGGTTTTCTACAGCTGTCTCAGCCATTCTACGATTAAAACGTGCTTCATATTTTGTGGCAGCCAACTGTAAATATATATAATCCTCAATAAATGATGAAGATGGCAACATACCAAAATGTACCGACAGAATTAAGTGAGAGCCTCATGAGCCGTACACGAACTATATATCCACGTCTTAGCTACTAACGTTCTCATTTATGGGAAGGGCATATTTACTTTGGTCCATAAAAAAAAGAAAGGTCATATATAACTAGCTAGGGACTACTAATTTATAAAATAAAAAATATCTTTTTGATTTTGGCTAATAATAGAAAAATTATTATTCTTTTTGTTTCTATTTACTTGTCACTTTAACATATTTCACGCAAATTAAGAAAAAAACTTGCATTAGCTTTTCATTAAAATACACAACTCTTCAATTTTATCTTTATTTAATATATATACATTTATGCTAATATTTAGTGTCTGACAGTATCTCGAATGGGATTGCTTCCAATAGAAAGATATCTATGCCTATCTAAAAATATATATATATATATACACTTTAAAAAAAAAACTACATATATACTCTTTTAGTTCTATTTATAAGTTAAGGTACTTTCAACATGTTTCACACAAACTAAAAAGAATCTTAAACTACATTAACTTTTTATTAAAATATAACAACTTTTAAATTTTATCCTTATTTAATATATATATCTTTGAAAAAACTATAGTATCTATTCCTTTGTTTTCATTTATAAGGCACTTTCGAGATATGTTTCACATATACTAAGAAAAACTTTAAACCATATTAATTTTTCATTAAAATATAACTTTTTAACTTTACTTTTATTTAATATATACATCTTTAAGAAAAGAACAATCTTCCCTATAATAAATAAAAGACTAAATAGTACATTCATATTAAAAATTTACTAAAATGGCTTATAAATAGGACCAGTTGAGTACACTATAATAAATAAATGACAAAATAGTATATTTATATTAAAAATTTAATAAAATGATTTATAGATAAGATTAAAAAAAAATCTCTTTCAGTCTCATAAATAGGGCGGGAGGAGGTACATTCGTTAAATTGTGCAACTAATAAGAGCAATCGCCCGAACGTGTATGGTTAGAACTGGGGCAGTCCCTGTTTCAGCCGATTTTTTATGAGGCGTTTAGTACGCTTTCATCTTCTTTGTTTATGGAGGATGTTGAGAGCTACAAATACAATGATGTAAAACACAGTTTGACTTTATTTCTAATAACGGCTTTCTTCAGCATTCATTTTGAAATTATGCTCCCTTCCGTCTTTCATCGTTTTGTTTCTTTCAGTGTTTGCCTTGTTTCCTTTTTTGTACTTTAAAACTTGGAGGAATTACTATTAAGTTTAAGGAAGAGATTTAATTACCTAAAATGCTTTTATTGTACTTTAAACGCTTTTTATAATAATATACTAGAGGCATGTCTAGGAACATGTTTTAGTTCTTCCCGAA